TTGGCGTGACGGGGATTCGAACCCGCGACCCGCAGATTGCGAGTCGAGTACCCTAACCACCTGGCCATGCTGGGCCATGAAAGAGTTTAAACTGTTATATTTAGATATTTATAAAATAAATTTTCCTAAGCACATTTATACATACAGAATACATCTTAAAAGCTTAATATGTATAACATATAAAACTTAAATAATTCAAATCTATAAATTAAGTAACTGCCCTATTACCTTAGTAATTCAGCCAAAAGAAGATGAATATAATACTTGGATACTTTAATAATTACTTCTGTAATACTGTACTTACACATTCCTTCCCCTAGAAGCCAGACTTTCGGTTTCGAATGAAGTTCTATCAATACAGTAAAAAAAAATTCAAAAATGAGCCCTCCAGTGTTTTCGTTCAACTTCACAGACTACCCATCGACAGGCAATGATTCATTGTTCGAGTCTGATCTTAGCATAGACCCCAATGAGCTGACTTTCCCACCCTATATTCGTATCACGTCTACCGTCTTCTGTGTAGTGATTTTGACTTTAGGAACAACCGGTAACCTATTGGTGGCCATTGTTGTGTGTTGTACAAAGGAGATGAGGAACTCTACCAACTTCTTCCTGATCAACCTGAGTATTGCTGACCTTCTGGTGTTACTAGTCTGTATGCCCATCACCAAAGTAAAACATTTACACTTCTCATCTTCATTATTGTTGTTTCTGTTCTTTTAAATTCCTCTAGTACAACTGGGATTAATTCCTATTTTTAGTAGCATCAGGCAAGCTGGTTAAATTAAGGTGTACGTGAATATATATAAGAAGCTTGTGGTACAGAAAGTATCCATCTTTTCATTCCTTATTGTGTGTAAGTCATCAAATCCGAGAGAAACTTCATGGTCCGATTCAAACACATCGTCTCGTTCGTGAATGTATTTTCCTTCCATAAAGTTTCTCTTTTAACGCTAGGTTCGTGTCGGACGCTGATTGTTTCTTTTTTCTTTCTTCTTTTTGAGATAGTGTTATTGTGGTTCGTCTACATTTGTCCACTAGGGTAAATTCCCATTTACGAGCAATTTGGCAACTTACCAGGGTTTCACTTTGGCAGACAAAAGGATTCCTTGTTTTCTATAGACTTCACATATCAATAGTGGAAACTTTCGTAACTTGATTTTCCTTTTTCTGTATATTACGGTGGAAGTCAACGTTTGTGTTGTTTGTCTCTAAAATAAAAGAATAATTGCATATTATAAGTTTTAAATTAGCATTCAGAATATTGATAAAATGAACAGTTAGTGTCTCATTTCAGAATATTTGATTTTTCTGAGGATCTTTGATTGATTGATAAGTTATATATATTTTAATAAATGAGTACCAATCAGCTACGAGAACAGCTTTCTTTAAGCTCCTTGTGGCCCTCCAGTGGCAGAGCACAGACAGCCTTTTGTGTAGCTTTGTGCTTAACTACAAACAAACACACAAGCAAAAGCTCCTTGTGATAGACTCGAGCACACTAAAATATAAGATGACAAATTTATTTCGACAGACGTGTAACATTTATCAAATCAGTTCGATTCCTGATAACTAAGCTAATGGAATTCATCAACAAAGTAAATATTTTCTACAGAAATAGATCAATTAAGTAGATGATCTGAAAAGTGAAATGAATTAAAGTTGTTTGTCGTGTAAAATAAAATATTGATGATTCTTAGATGCAAATTACGTGGATTTCTTTAGCTCGAGTGGTACCTCAGCAGATTCCTCAAGTTTCTAAATTGTTGACCAGAGGAGAGCAACCAGGCAGCAACACCCAAGGTACTGCAAGGATGTAACTTAACATTTAAGGCACAGATCAGGTTTACAGGATCAAATGTTTATTAATTTGCTGTCAACTACCATCTCGCATGCCTCCTCATGCTTTGATACAATCTTATTACTTACACTGATCCTCCTTCGTAGTCATAACTTATGTATTTACCTTGTTTTACTTAACTTTTTATTTTTACTTATTTATTATTATTGTCTTTATTTTCCACTAAGTTAACTATGATACCACAACCGGGGAGAAGGAGAACCGACTGATTCTCGAACACCCTTGTTACTAAAACCCAAATACCTACCATTAAAAAATGAAATTGAGAACCATTGTCTGCAAAAACTACTCTTAATAGTGGGACTGACAGTCACTCATATAACACCCGCAGCTAAAACTGTGGAACGTATTCAGCAGAATATCGTGGGTTTTAGACTTTTACAAATAGAAACACGAGACGAATTTGATTTTTGTCTATAATAATGCAGAATTCAGCCAAAGACGAAACAGTTATATCGATGTCTGTTGTTTAAGCACAAAACGCGGTCGTCTTTCAATATCAATTTAGAAACCTATTACATCACTTCAACATTCACTGGTTCCCTGTCAAACAATTACTAAGATAACCAGTAAATTTGAATATCTAACTACAGCCAGATAGAGATTTTTAAACACCAAAAATCTTAACGAATAAAAATTGGGATGGCTTTCAATGTATACGAGTTCAGATATTAAAAAAAAAGCTAAAGCACTGCTTTGGAATGTGAAAGCCTTGTTTTGCAACTTAATTATAAACACATTTCAACTGATAGAAACACTTCCATTAATTTCACAGCCAAACGAATATCCTTTAATTTGATGCGTCATGATAATTCACTGGGCTACGGATCGGAAGATTTAATAACGTATCCAGCCTAGGACTCTAAGATCTCCAATCCAATATGCTAACCACGTATGGAACCTGAAATTCTCGGATCTCCGGACTGATATACTAATCACTTGGCCACGCTCTGGTCCATGATAAAGTCAACCAAATGTATGATAATACAAGTATCATTATTAAATTCCATGCTTCTCCAAGTAAGGCCTTCTACGCTCTAAGACATTTTGTAAACTGTTTGCACAAAAGAGAAACGAAAAACACCATTGGCACTAGTGTAGAGATGCATGTCTGTTCGTAATATGGTGTAATAATCTTTTTTGGTTTTGAACAATTTGGATTTACCTTTCTATACCAAGAACTATTTTTAAATGAAAAAATATATATATATTTAATCAAACGTATGGTAATCATTTACTAAGTGCAAGTTGTGTAAATTGATTCATGTTTTAATGGAAAGGTTGTCGAAGACCAAATAATAAGCATACACCAAAGGTTGTCGAAGCTACTTCTCAACATAATTCCTGTTTAGTGTGATGAACTTTCTCTATCGTTCCGTGAGCTTCAGTTTATCAATTCATTAAAATGTACACTCTTATATTACAAATTCAGAACACCAATCGTGTGAAGGTGTTGCTAACACAAAAAATCCTTTAAAGGAGCCCACAGTGGCTCAGCTGTAAGTCTGCAAGCTTACAATGCTAAATATCTGGTTTTGATACTCGTGATGGGCTGAGCACAGATGACCCGTTGTATATCTTTGCGCCTAACAACAAACAACAGAGGCCTATGAAGGTGGAATCATCACTGTGTAAATATTTTAACCGCTGGTGATGTGCATAGCTGTTTTAGTCTTGTTCAACTTGAGATCTATAGTTCGTTATGTTAACCATGTATCGAACCTGGGACCCTTGGATCTCTAGTCAGACATGAGATATTCGGATTTCCAGTCCGTTATGATTACCATGTATCGAACCTGAGATCCTCGGATCACTAGTCCGTTCTGATAACCATGTATCGAACCTGGGACCTTCTGATTTCTAGTCCAATATGCTAACCACGTATCGAACCTAGGGTTCTTGGATCTCTAGTCCGTATTCTACCTATGTATCGAACCTGAGATCTTCTTATCTCTAGTCCGTTGTGCTAACCACTTATCGAACCTAAGACCCTCGGATCTCTAGTTCAATACAATAACCATGTATTGAACTTGGGACCATTGGATCTCTAGTCCGACATGCTAAACATGTATCGAGCTTCGGACTTTCGGATCTCTAGTCCGACATGCTAACCATGTATCGAGTTTCGGACTTTCGGATTTCCAGTCCGATATTTTAATCAGGTATCAAACCCAGGAGACCGTCAAACTTTCAGTCCGATTTGCTAACCGGTGTATGCTTATTATTTATAATTGATATATAGTTTACTTAAAAAAGTAAATTCTCAATTCTCTTTGAACACTCCTAGTGTATAACAAAACTTTTAAATCTATTAAATCCCTATCCTATATTAATTCATGTTGTGTGTTTGTGAATTTATTTTGTTTGCGATCCCCCCTCCAACATTTTTAGAGGTAGCAGGACCAAACTCGGCAGGCGGACTCGGGATGGTTCTGGAGGTGGCGTTAATTATAGGATCTAGCTACTACAATTATATATTTGGAGCAGCAAGGTGACTAAAACACGCCTGGAAGGCTACTCAGGCATGGCGGTGGTCTAGGAACAGGTTTAGAGGGTCGTTCTACTTAAATATGGTATGGAATTTTGTGTTCCTAGCCTCACTTAGGATTCCTGGGGATCCTGTTGTCAAACTGTGCTAATACCCCCACTCACAAACTAACGAGACCAAACTTGACACAAGTGCTTAGGTATCACGTGTGAATGTTCCAGCTACCTGCTGTGTCCACCTAGGGGAATCGAACCCCTGATTGTAAATCTGAAGACTTACCGCTGTTCCTCTGGGGGGGGGCAAGTGGGAAGTAATTACTACAACAGGGTAACTTGTCTGTATCAATATGAATTACCAGCACTTGTGTAATATTTGTAATTATAATGAATATTTACAAGATAGAGTGTAAATGTGGTAGTATTTATATTGGTCAAACTAAAAGAAATTTAAAATACAGATTGCAAGAACATAAAGGTTGTATAAGAAGTACTAAAATAAAAACCACAGCTATAGCCGAACGTGTGAAACTAATCAACATACAATATTATGGGGAAAACTTTAATTCTGACTCAACCTCGTAGTATTATACCATTAAATATTAGAGAAACATTATAAATAATGAAATAAGTCAATATGTTGATATATGGCGAGATACATTATAAAAATAGACCAAGGAAATGTGCAAATAATAGTGAAACAATGGAGTAAAAGTATGTCTTGTAAGTAACTCCTGAAGATGACGTAGATCACGTCGAAACTTGTAGATGTAGAGTGTCGTTTTAAACTGGAAGTCTTTCGGCTTCAATAAAGTTTTAATTGTGTAAAGGGTAACTTGTCGTCAAGCTAAAAATGATTCCTATCTTGCAAAAAATTATATTTGTGTCCCCAGTCTTATCGTTCTCACCATTAAGCATCCCCCCAAGTGGCACAGCGTGATACCTCAAGGCTTATAACGCTAAAAACCGGGATTCGATTCCCGTGACAACATATTGTGTAGCTTTGTGCTTAACTACTAGTAAAAAAACTCCGTATTTAATACTGAAAAAGATGATGCATCAACGCTA